AATGGACCCTTTACCCCCGGTGTCTCCTCTCGCTCCCCTGTCTCTCGTCCCCCCCCCCCCTTCGCTCTCCTCATACATACATGCACGCTTCCTTTTCTCCGCTGCTGGATGGTGCGTTAGGAGCGCTTGCAGGCAGCACGGCACCGGGGGCTTCCCTTCTGTCTGATGGAGACGGGCTGAGTGAGGGGGGACAAGGTCCGTCCGGCAGAGACCACCTCGAGGATCCCACTGCTTGGACTCCGCTCTTGCTGCTGTACAACGCCGGAGGGGGGGAGCGGGCACGAGACAGGGGAGCGAGAGAGGAGACACCGGAGGTAAAGGGTCCATTAATGACCTGTTTGTGTGTTTTTGTTTTGCATTTGAGAAAGAAATCGCCGTGGTCGCAGTCAGAAACCAAGGAGGGACATAAAAGCGACATTTGAACCCTGTTGGACTTGATTGTGATCGTTTTAATGACCATTTGGAACAGAAGCGGAATAACAGAGAGCAGCTCTGTGTGTCCTCCACTGCTCTGCCGTCGTGTTTTTTGCTTTCGATCAATTAGCCCTCTGATTTTAATTTCCCTCACGCGCCTGTATGATAACTGACAAGCAAAAATACGTGAGCTTAATTGATTTGGAGTTAATACATAAAACACAAATATCTTTTTCCCATTTAGGTTTTTTGATTGTCTGATTTAGGAGCAAAATCAAGTGATTTTGCTCTCTGGTGATGCTCATTTTATCATTATTCAAGTAAACAATAGAAACTGCAGCGTGATATTATACTGCAATTCAATTATGGTGGCAGGCTGGAGCCTTTTCATTTAAATGAGGTAGGCTGAGAGCGCCGCCTCAAGTCTGGAAAGGAAACTGCAGATGGCTCTGTAGATGCAAATTGGCATCATTGTGAGATAAAAAGAACCACACACAGGTTTTTCACAATACGCCCAGTGTTTATGTCCAGGAGATGCAGCCTCTGTTTAATAACACGTCTCCTTGTTTCTCTGCATCCATACTGGAGGCCAGGGTGAACCCAAATTCCAGAGAAGATACAGCAACCTTCTCATGCCCTGTCCACACTACTCCGTTTCTCCTTGGATGCAGATTTGTCAAATAGAAACGATCTCCGTCCACAAGGGAGTTTCAGCATCATTCTCGAGTTGATCTGCATCCACATGGCAGCCTTCGAAGGCGGACAGCACGTGACCATTAACGTACACTGGGCATGCGCGTGACGGTGTAAACAGGAAGTGGATTGCTTGCTTAGTTAAAAAACAAAATACGACAGAGTAATAAAGTAGTCTTTAATAATGAAAGGTTGTATTTGATACTTAAGATCTTCCTCTATAAACTCAAACAGACAGTTCGTGGAAAGTTTTATTTTTCAGACGTAGTTACAGCGCTGCGGGTCTCTCGCTCTCTCGCTCTCTCTCTCTCTCTCTCCAAATTTACTTTAAAATCAACACTTACACGTAAACGTTTACTAGATTATGGTCCATAAATGTGGTCAACACACGTCTCTCACTCTATTCTGCTCCTGCTTCGTGCAGGAAAGCTTAGCAGATCGCTAACAGTAGATCCGTGAAATAAAAGAGTTTCAAGACTTCAGTGTGAATCTTTCTTATTTGTAAAACTGTGGAAACACAATATGAAATATGGCTTTACAAACTGTCCATATACACATACATGAATACAAAACAACAATCCATGATATAGCCAGCATGTAACATGTCCGCCTAGCTAGCTTCTAAGCTACTTTTAACATTACCGCCAATGGAGAAATGCTAACCGCGATTAGCATTTAATACAACACAAATGTTATACTAAACACGCAAATAGAATATATCTACGTACATCTTGTCATGCTTCATAAAGACATACTTACAGACTAAGGTCTCAAGGCTACCAAACGGAAGAAGTAAAACGTTAGTGCAGCGTGTCTTCTCATTAAAATCTAAAAACAACGAGCTGCTCCATAGAGCTGATGCCGGTCACACTGCTCGCTAATCACTCCAATAACAGCTGCTTCCTCCACAGAAATGCAGACTTTTACTGCACAACAGCTGCTAGGGACGGAGACGTCATGGTTGCCAAGAACCAATCCAGTAGCGAACACGGGTGTGGGCGTAATTTTTTCTAAGCACATCCGTATCCGACCGTCCACACGCAAACGCAACCCCGGAGTTCTCAAACACCTCCAACCTCGGTGGATTTTTCAGATTCCTCCGTTTAGGGTGCTCCAAAACTCCGGCGTAGTGTGGCCGCTCAGTGTAAACGAAGCAAATACGGAGTAAAAGCGGAGTAGTGTGGACAGGGCCACCACCTGGTCCTGCAGCTGGGGTTTTAAAATAGGATCTCATCCTAAAAACCCAAAGCAGGCGCGTGACTGAGCTGCTTCCTCTTTGTAGACCAGACGTGTCTGCAGGCTGGCAGCGAGGCCGCAGGGTCGATGTGTGGTGACAGAGCTGAATTGTGCAGATGTCCTCCAGCGTTTGTGTAACCGCAGGTGTGCACATAAATGCCTTTTGTGTGTGTGTGTGTGTGTGTGTGTGCGTTAGGAACAATGTCAATAGCCATTTACATTGATGCAGATTGTAACAACAACAGCTCCCCGAGTGAGTGGAAGCAGGTTATTGAGCCACGGTTCAACTGCTTTTGTTGGTTTTACACCTTCAGTCATGTTTAATAGGTGACGATGTTGCATGATAGAGCTGGATGTTAAGTCAATTAAACGATTAGTTGATCCTGAAAAAGTATCAGAAACCATCTTATTTGATTAATCTATTTTAATTGATATCGATGTAAATATAATAGTTGAAATGTAAAGATGTCAACTGGCTTTAGGAAATTGTATTGGGCATCTCGCAGTATTTTCTGATGTTTTATAGATCAAACAATGACTCAATTAATAAAGCAAATAGTCTTCAGATTGGTTGATAATGACAGTAATCAGCTGCAGCTGGATTGCATGCTGATACATGTAATACATATCAACAGTCCTTTACACTTGTAAGAAGTATTTTGGATTTTGACTGCTTGCTTTTCTTTGAATTTCCCAGAATTCATTAGTTAAATAAGAAGCTTTGTCTCAGCTGATTTATTAAAAACGACCTTGTTGTTTATGTTCTGGCTTGTTATTCTTGTAAGCTATACAACTCTTAGTCAAACAGATGACTTGGCCTGTCACAATTTACCCCAAGCCCAAACTGATGTCTTGAGGTTGCTTGTTTTGCCCGAATTATCGTCAAAACCCCCAAAATATTTAAGAAAAAAGACAAAAACAGCAAATCCTCACATTTGAGAAGCTTGAACCAGTATATGTTTTGGTACTTTTCTTTAATTGATCATCAAAATTTGTGGTTAATGTGGTTCATTTTGTGTCAGTCTTGTCTCTTCTACATTGTGATGATGTATATTGCAGTGCCTGTTAGTTGGATGCAAAGCTGCATTTTCGCCCACCTTGTCTGTCATCCAGTCATGCATCCTTTGTCACTGTTTCTCTCATTTAATATGCCTCTCACAGATTCACACACACACACACACGCACACGCAGACACACACACAACAAAAAACTTCTTTTCTTTGGAGTGTATAACCTTGACGCTTGTCACTTTCAGCAAGGCACTGACAGTATGTTTTTTTTATTATTGTATTCTTTCATCTCTGTCTCTTCTTTTACCTTTTAATTCTGTTTCCACTTTGGTCTCCTGTTTCCCGCTGCAGATCCTCCATCATCTGAAGGTCTCCTGCTATTCTACTTCTATGCTCTCCTGCCTCTCCTCCTGGGTGTCTCTGGGATTGTGTTTAACATGCACGCTCCCAAGAGAGTGTAGCTTGTAGTGCCGAGAGGAGAGTTTGGTGTGTGTGTGTGTGTGTGTGTGTGTGTGTGTGTGTGTGTGTGTGTG